AAAGAACTTTCTTGATAGTTCTTGTATTCACGTAATTTAATTCCGCAACATGGGATTGAGATGAGAACTTAGGTGGTGATAACTCCAGTGGGAGCATGTCTGTTTTAGTACTCCTTTGGATATGTCAGTCAGGTTAGCTTATCTAGTTCAAAGAGTTTGAGGTAAATTATGCATAATCAAGATGGGGTGCTGTGCCAGGACACACTTGGTTTCAGAGCACAAGCTCATTGTCTTAGGGTGCTTCTGTGCAGCAGGTGTTGACAAATCTGAATTGGCACCATACAAGCAGAACCCAGTGTCAGATGCAGAGGTACCTGAGCTGGCTCTGGGAACAGCGTAGTGCCATTTGCAGCATAGGGCCTGTTACTTAGGACTGCATGAACTGTATGCCCAGGGCAGCTCAGGTGTTGCAGACTCCAGGATTCTAGGCATCGCATTTTGCTATTTAGCTACACCTGTGTTCTGTGGTTAGAAACTGTTCTGAATTTCTGCAAAATAGCTGTGTAATGTTACACGGCATGTTAACACAGATCTGTCAAGTTCAGGGAGAATGTTGCTTCATCGATGATTTTTTTTTTTTTTTTTTTTTTTAAAATTTTAAATTTAACTCTTATTATTATTCTGTTCCCAGTACACTTACCTACAGTCTTTGAAGCGCCTGGAAAACAGGGAATATTTAAGAGTTTTAGTGGCTCATTTACCTCTCAAATCCCAATTTTTCTTTACAATCCATTTTTGTTTTTATTTTTACCAACCAAGGAGCTGGTTAGTTTTCTAATTTGGATCTGCAAGGTGATGGTATTATCTGTGATAGACTTTCCTTTTGAAATTGTTCTTTCTGTTCGAACAGCCTCGATAGTTATGTCTGCTCACAAGGTGAGCAGAATTCAGGCATTAATAGCAAAGTTCTTCGTGTCATACATTTCATAAAGATACTCATGTGGTCTCTTTTTTCCATAAATCAATTAATGAACTGCTGCTATTTTGCCCCCCTCAACTGTATAATTCTGTTGATTTCAACATACTGAGTGATGTTACAATGGTCTTGCTTTATCTTTCCAGAACCTTGACCTTTTCATGTGCTATTCAGACTTTTTTTGGCTTTTGATGATAATTTTAAAAGGTGGCTTTTCCTCCTAGACATATAAGTAGGTTTGAGATTAAGATTTCCTGTATATTTAAATAAATGAAGTTATGTCTTGATTTTACTTTAACAGATACTGTCTGACTTGCCATCTGTGGTTTGTTTCACAGGATTCTGTTTCTGAAACTGAGAGAATTTCTGGAGGTTCAGATGACCACTAGTTAGTAACCTACACCAGCTTGATGTCAGCAAATGCCAGACAGGCTGCCTGATTTATGTTTTCTTTCTTTATGGATCCCTAGAACTCATTTTCCTTCCCTCCCTCTTTTCTTAAAGTTGTTAGCTTCATTTTCCAGAGCGGGGGATAAATTTTGGAGCTGCTTCCTCTCTTGTACGTACTTTAAAAGGGACAGAGGTATGCAGAATATGAGGTGAAAAAAAGTATCTTGGACTCTGTTTACTGTAACTTATAAACACTAGTACATTCCCAAACTTTTCATCCTGTTGTAGTTCAGGAATTCACAGAAAAAAGACTGTATCTCACTGCTGGTGTCTCAGTATCTTAAACGTGAATGTGTACTATGAAGGAAAAGCAAAATGCTACTGGTGACTCTTTTTTTAGTCATTCATTAGTTTAGAACTTGACAGAACAGTTAAAAAGGGGGAGTAGCAGACTGATAAATATGCTTTAGATTTTTTTTTCCCATTTATGATAGAGATGTTATAATATGGTTATGACCTAATTCTGCTTCTGACACTGTGTAATGTATTTTCAAGTAGGGAACTTTCAACTTTTTAAGTGAAAATTTGGCTAATGAACAATTCTGAGGTTCAAAATGAGCGTAGTGCTCACATGGAAAATATGGTAAAAAATGAAATTGGGTTGAACTATTTTACCTAATAAACTTTCAATATTTTGGCAAGTCAAGTGGATCTAAATTTGCTTCTGTTATGTCTATTAAGTACTCTATTTTAGTAAAAAAAATGCTATCTATCACAGCTGTGGAACTGGAGGTGATTTTTTTTTTTTTTTTTTAAAAACACCTTGTGAAGAGTATAAAAATTCTGTCAATAGAAGATCTTGTGTCAAAAAAACCCCACTGGTCTTGTAACTTGTAATTTCTGTGTTTTCCTCTGATTCTTACACTTAATGTTTACTGTGGAGGAAATCTAATGAAGTTTTGAACTTTCCAGGTTGCTGCTCCAGGTGTTAAACAAGGACCAGCTTCACAGGCAGCACCTCAGCAGCCGGTAATAGCTGACAAGCAGGCAGGTCATGAACCTGCCTCTCCACGAAGTCTTCAGCGCTCAAGGTATATTGAAATACTTCTCTGTGCTGTCCTCTGTTTTTGCTCTGGATCCAGTCTGTGTTGTATATGTTGCAATTTGTGGATTCTTCTTTGACCAATTATTGAACATATGATTTAACTCTGCTGCTACTGAGAGGATGCAGCTAAATATCTTTGTTACAGAGCTAATGTGGTAGATTCTCCACTTTAGGACCACCACTAGAGTTTCATTCGCAGAAGCAAAATAGAATTCATATGTCTGCCCTGTTGCTCTGGAGTCAAATTTATAAGTGATTCTTTGTATTGTGATTTCTGAGTTTGGCGTTTTTGTTTCTTTCTGTGCAGTTATGAGATTAAATGCTTTAATTCTATGTGATTTGCTTAGTGTTGGGTGTTTGTGGAGTCTTGCTGTAGTGTAATTTGATTTTTAAATTGGTAAGGGTTATTTTGCTGCTTTAATGAAAAACATTAAAAAAAATAAAGTTTCACAAGTGCTTTTCCTTAGCCTGAGTTTTTTGTCAACATAGCAGCCTATTCAGGTGTTGCATGCTATGAACGTTTATCCATTGATGTACAAGGTGGATTTAGAATTTGTATCTTGTCTGGAATTTTTCTTCTGGGAAGATGAGTTTTTCATTGTGTAGCATGCTGTGCGCTTTGTCATATTAGTTTGAGAGGCTGTAACCAAAGATCTGTCATAATGTGATGGAGTCATGGTCTAGAACTGTGGCAGGGGGAGACTGGAGGTTGACTTTTTGAAACGTGCATCATTGCAATGGATTCCCATAAATCTACAAAGTGTTGCATTTCTTAAAAGCTAGATTTTTAGAGTGGTTGAATAAGGTGTGTGGTATGATATTAACCAAAAAAAAAACCAAACCAAAAGCAAAACCAAAACCCAACAAAAACCCAATACTCTTTCCTCTTTCTTTGTCGGCATACCTGAAGCTACATGGTGGTGCTTTCCAGATCATAAAATAGTGAGGTCCTTCTATCTGCACTTCTGGGACTAATAATAAAGGCGACCTTTGATTACATGTCATCAGTGCACTAACTTATTGTTAGATTTTTCAAATCTATGTTGTTTTTTGCTGATTTTATGGGGAGAAGGGGGTTGGTTTGTGTTCGGGTTTTTTTGTGGAGTGGGTTTTTCGTTTGCTTGGCAGTCCTGTCCCAGTGACTGGCTTTACTAGTTGAGCAGTTTGAGGGTACAAACAGAAGCAAGTCAGAAGTTTTTGAGTCTTTAATGTTGACTGTCTTACAGACACTTGATTCTAATCTTTGGCAGATGTCTAACCTACAACTCATTTTCCTCTATGGGTAGAATAAAGACATAGTGTACAAGTTCCAATCTCTAGTAATTATGGATGGTGTTGTTTAAAATCTTTCTGAAATACAGTACCAAAAAAAAAATTATACTTGCCAACCAGCCAAACCTTTTTAATAAGGGGACCAGACCTTTTTATAAGGAGCGGTGAGGTTTTGGGGAACAGCTCTCAGTCACAGACCATTTTGTCCTTTGCTGATCACCCTTTCCCCATAGGAAATGTTGCTAAGGAAAATAGTCTTATTCTTGGAAACATTCACCATGGCCTGGAATCTGTGTGATGTGAGACTGGTGGGCATTTGGCCTGCTAATCCATACCCCACCTTCCCTTTGGGTTACAGGACCTCCTACTCTGTCATAACCCTTACCCACACTGAGTTTCCCTTAGGGATCTACTGGCCCTCTGCAAACCATTGCTCTGCTTGTTGTCAGCATTTTGCTGGAGAAAGGAAGCTGAGTGTGTCCCAGCAACTGTACGGTTGAAGCAGAGGGGTCACACAGGTAGCACTGTCCTGTAGTTGACAGTGCACAAATAGACCGTGCAGGCTAGTATCAAGATATTGTGACAATATTAGTATTGTTTAGTATCCTGTGTATCTCCAATTGTTAGACATTTGTGACTGTGGTATATTGTGCATCATGAGTTCACATGTTTGTTTCTTTTGGAAGTGTCTCATTTGCAGAGAATGGAAGATTAAGGAACAGGGGACTTGGAAAAACCTGTGTGACTGGTATTTTCTTCTGTTCGGTGCAGTGGAGTTGAATGAAAATAGACTAGCTCAGATGTACATTTACTCATCTGCAAAAGATTTCCTGTATCTGGGGAGTATTTCTGAATTGGTACAGAACAGATTATTCCTTCATAGGTGAAAGCAGTCAGTCAGATTGGGGACTGCTCTTGGGGCTAACTCCCTTTACTGTTTTTTTTATAGGAACTGCGGACAGGTCGTCCAAAAAGAGGTTCTATGAATTAAGGTTGCATTTTTCTACAGCTTAAATACAGATTCATTGTACAGAACTTAGTCAAAATTACATTTCCTTTGATTTTACTCTTACTAAAAGTTTTCAGTGAATGGAGCTAAAATTATTTTTAACCTGTTTGGGAGGAAGTGCCGTCTAAGAAATATGTGAATAGCTATTGCTAACTTGAAAGTTGTGAACATTTCAGTCATCTTCAGTCATCTAAGTTAGACTAATGCAATGTAGGCATATAGTGAGTGTTTTTGTAAGAAGTTGTTCCAAAGACGTGCCATGAATTGTGGCTGCTTTAAAAATGGAACTAAATGAGTGCTTCCATAATTAATAGTTTCATCAGGTTACTAGTTTCTCCTTATTTCCAGAAGAGACTGGAAATACCTTAAAAAATGCAAAACTGCTGGAGGGGAAGGTATTTCTTCCCATATTTTGTAGGTTGTAAGAATTTGTAGTTTGTAGTAGTGTATTCAGAACCATCCTGTTCTCATACTCTTGTGCAGATGTTTTTGCCTCTCTGTGGCATAGTCTGTCTTTAATTCATCCAGCTAAGATAGGTATTTGGCTTTATTGAAGCATTTAAAAATATAGCAGTAGTTTGGAACCATCATTGCTGCATTCATAGCTCCCCCTGCTGCTAACATAGTAGTGCTAAGATATTTTATGACAGTATGTTTTATTCATAATTAAGACACAACTTTATTTTTGAGAAACCCACAGATTTTATTTATTTTTTTCTGAAACATTTCTGATGTGTTATAGTGATTTTTACTGATGAAGTAGGAGTCAGAGAAGCCAGGTTGATAAATGGAGAGGAGGCAAGTCATAGGGGAACTTTAATCCTATTAGACCTAAGGAGTAATTAAGCATTGAAGGTGATGCCTCAGTTGTACTTAGTTAATAAATGTAGTCTTTCTCTGCACCATCAGTATGATGATGCTGTATGAATACATAGAAACAGAATCATTTAGGTTGGAAGGTTCTAGTCGTGATCTTGTTCAAGTCCCAACTTAAAGTAGGACTGGCAAGTTTGAATTACTAAGGGCATTGTTCAGGTGACTTTTTTAGTATCTCTGAGCATCTTCTTCTCATGTTTGACTGCCTTTATGGTGAAATGTTTTTTCCTTATGTCTAATTAGAATTTCCCTTGTTGCAACTTGTGTCTCTGCCTCATGTCCTATCATTGTGTATCTCTGAAAAGAACCTGGCTCTCTGCTCCTCCCCGTAGGTGGTTAAAAACAGTAAGAAGATCTTTCAGTCCCCTTCCCTGAACCTTCTGTTTTCCAGACAGAATAAACTTTTAGCTTCTCCTGATATGGCATGTGCTTCAGCCCCCTAGTCATTTGTGTGGTTCTCTGCCACGTTCCTTTGGTGTGACAGTTTAATTCTTGTCCGGTTTTGGGCTCCCCACTACACAGTGCTCCAGGTACTGTGGATCTCATAAGCTCTGAAGAGAGGGGAGAAATTGCTTTCTTCAACCACGTTCTTGCTAATACAGCCCAGCATGTGCTTGGCCTGCTTTGCCACAGAGATACATTGCTGATTCGCATTTAACTTGTCCACCAGGATCCTCAGGTCCTTTTCTGCAAAGCTGCTTTCTACTCACTCAGCCTGTACTGTTCGGAGGGGTTGTTTCAGTGTTGTTGCACAGTGTTATTCCACCCCAGGTGCAGGACTTTATATTTACCTTTTTTGAACTTGGTTCCTGTTTGCCCGTTCAAGGTCCTTCTGAATAACAACCTACCCTCCAGCGTATTGACTGCTCCCCCCAAGTAGGTGTTGCCTGCAGACTAACTGAAGGTGCAGTGTGTGCCCCTATCTAGGTTTTTAATAAAAACATTAAACAGTATTGGCCACAGTATTAATCAGTGAAGCATAGCACTAGTCACTGGCTTTCGGTTGGTCTTTGTACTGCTGACTGCAGCATTTGAGCCTAGCAGTTCATTCAATTTTCCACCCACCTTACACATGAAATATGGACTGGATAAGTGAACAGTTTGGCTATGGGAATACTACGGGAGATGATGGCACAGGCCTTGCTCAAGTCAAGGTAAACAACGTCACTGCTTTCACCTTATCCTCTGAGCCAGTCATCTCATCATAGATGTCAGTGAGGTTGGTGAGGCATAATTTCCCCTTTGGTAAGTCTATGCTGGCTCTTTTTTTGCCTTTTAGTCTTTCATGTAGCTGGAACCCCTTCCAGGAAGACTTGCTCCATAGCTTTCCCAGAGACTAAGATCAACTGGCCTGTAGTTCCCCAGGTTGTCATCTTTGTGCTTCTTGAAGTTGGCTTTAACACTTGCTTTTTTTGCCTCATCATCGGGAAACTTGCCTGCTCACCATGCTGCTTCAAGGTGATGCAGCATCTGAGTTATACTGGCCAGCTCCCTGATTACCCTTGGGTGCATACCATCTGGTTGCATGGACATATGTCCAGTAGGCCTAACTGCTCCTTAACTTCTTCCTCTGCTGTAGGTAATACTTAACTCGCACTGATTCTACTGATGCGCTTGGGCATGTGGGAGGCCTGAGGGCAGACCATACCTATAAAAACCCGGGCAAAAAAAAGTTGCCAGCTATTTTGGCCTTTTTTGTGTCCTTTGTCTTTAGATCCCCTTACCTTGTAGAGGGGCAACCCACCTGTTCCTTAATCTTTCATTTGCCCCTGATGTACAGCCCTCGTTGTCCTTCATGTTCTTGACTAGTTTAAACTCCAGCTTCAAAATCTAAATGGCATTTTTTCCCCTAATCAACTGAACATTTCTGCAGTTAAGCATTTGCACTTGTAAGTGGCTCTGAAGCAGTTGAGCCAATTACTGAAGAGAACACAGCACAAAACCCAAAGAATACTTACTTACTTACACCCCCCCACAGTTACATCATGTATTCCCTTTTGCAACTTCTGGTGCCTGAAATCAAGGGAAATTTATGTATACAACTCTAACAAAGCTGCCTGCCAAAATCTTTCTGCATTTTTTTTTTTTTAAATATTCTGAGCTTTTAAACAAGTTTTGGGAGTACTGAAAGGAGTGAGATTAAAGTCTTTGATGCTGCAGAGCAGTGTGCTGTACCTAATTTGCTGGCTGTTTGTTTGGAAACTTGCTGTAATTCTTTGCAAGTGTGAGTGATTAGGATAAATCATTGGGCGTTGGACTGTAAAGATGGTTGCATTATGCTAGGGTGTTTTCAGTCCTCAAGGGGACAGGTTAGGGGATGGCTTAAGATTCCTCTCAAATTTGTTTTTTCTTCGTATTACTTTGTATCACTTGCAGGCAAGTAGTAAGAAAGTTTTAAGAAATAGACTGAAATTATGGCCTGTATTGAAAAGCTGTTGCCAGTGGGAGAGTGATTGTAAACATAATCTTATGAGTAATGGCTAGGTACTTACACAATTAGTGCTGCTATTTCTCAGTATATGTAGTGCCAAAGAACATTGTAGCTGTGAGGTACCATCACTGTTATAGTGCTGGTGCTGTTCTTTTGTCCTGCT